TCTGAGTGAGGTTAGCCTGGCCCAAAAGACCAAAAATCGTATGTTCTCCCTCATATGTGGACATTAGATCAAGGGCAAACACAACAAGGGATTGAACTTTGATCACAAGATAAAAGCAAGCACACAAGGGAGATGAGGATAGGTAAGACACCTAAAAAATTAGCTAGCATTTGTTGCCCTCAACAGAGAAACTAAAGCAGATACCTTAAAAGCAACTGAGGCCAATAGGAGAAGGGGACCAGGAACTAGAGAAAAAGGTTAGATCAGAAGAATTAACCTAGAAGGTAACACACATGCACAGGAAATCAATGTGAGTCAACTCCCTGTATAGCTATCCTTATCTCAACTAGCAAAAACCCTTGTTCCTTCCTATTATGCTTATACTCTCTCTTCAACAAAATTAGAGATAAGGCAAATAGTTTCTGCCAGGTATCAGGGGGGGGAGGGGGGGTGGAGATGGTAGGGAGGGGTGGGGGCAGGGGGAGAAATGACCAAGCATTGTATGCACATATGAATAAAAAAAAAAAAAGACTGGGAGAAGTAGCAGATCTCAACAAAAAATTATGATGTGCACAAAGAAAATGGGAAGCATGGACAAATAAAGTAATAGGTAGCTCAAGTAATAAAATGCTTGCCTAGCAAGTGCAAGGCCCCAAGGATGCACGGAAAAAGGAACCCTCTTACACTGTTGGTGGGAATGTAAACTAGTACAACCACTCTGGAAAAAAATTTGGAGGCTACTTAAAAAGCTAAACATTTATCTACCATTTGATCCAGCAATGCCACTCTTGGGGATATACCCAAAAGACTGTGACACAGGTTACTCCAGAGGCACCTGCACATCCATGTTTATTACGGCACTATTCACAATAGCCAAGTTATGGAAACAGCCAAGATGCCCCACCACTGACGAATGGATCAAGAAAATGTGGTATCTATACACAATGGAATTCTATGCAGCCATGAAAAAGAACGAAATGTTATCATTCGCTGGTAAATGGATGGAATTGGAGAACATCATTCTGAGTGAGGTTAGCCTGGCCCAAAAGACCAAAAATCGTATGTTCTCCCTCATATGTGGACATTAGATCAAGGGCAAACAACAAGGGGATTGGACTTTGAGCACATGATAAAAGCGAGAGCACACAAGGAGGGTGAGGATAGGTAAGACACCTAAAAAACTAGCTAGCATTTGTTGCCCTTAACGCATAGAAACTAAAGCAGATACCTTAGAAGCAACTGAGGCCAATAGGAAAAGGGGACCAGGAGCTAGAGAAAAGGTTAGATCAAAAAGAATTAACCTAGAAGGTAACACACGCACAGGAAATCAATGTGAGTCAATCCCTGTATAGCTATCCTTATCTCAACCAGCAAAAACCCTTGTTCCTTCCTATTATTGCTTATACTCTCTCTACAACAAAATTAGAGATAAGGGCAAAATAGTTTCTGCTGGGTATTGAGGGGGGGGGAGAAGGAGAGGGCAGAGTGGGTGGTAAGGGAGGGGGTGGGGGCAGGGGGGAGAAATGACCCAAGCATTGTATGCACATATGAATAATAAAACAATAAAAATTAAAAAAAAAAAGTGCAAGGCCCCAAGTTCAAACCTCAGTAGCACAAACAGAAAATTCAAGCATAAATATGCTCAATAAACTCAATAAAACAATGAAGGAATGAAATAGAATGCCAAAAGATGACAAATACTCTAAAGAAGCAAGTAGAAATTTTGGAGCTGAAGACTACAATAACTAAGGTGAAAAATTTACTAGAGAAGTTCAATGGTGGAGTGGATCAAGGAGAAGAAAGAATCGGGAAACAAAGACAGGGCATTTAAAATTACCAGAGAGGCAAGAAGGAAAAAGAAGGAATGAAGCAAATGTAAGGGACTTGTGAGGCACAATTAGGTGGATCAATATATGTATTCTGATTGGTTAAGAAGAGAAAAAGTAACAAAAATACTACTTTTAAATTGATAGTACTACACACATGGGAAGGCTGATATTTTAAGTATAATTAATCATAATTAACAAAACTACAAGTTAATACCAGTGCAGGTAAAGAAGGTGAAATGAATGTTTGTCTTCATTACTACTATTTTTTATAATAGAAATAAACATTGGCAAAGCCAAATGGAGAAGTAGGGGATAAAAGATTCAGACAGATGTCAATAAGGAAACAGAGTATTTCAGTAACACTCTGCTAAACCCAATGAATGAATCTAGCAGCCACATTATACCAAACTACAGCAGAGTGCTTTTTTCTTTTTTGAATACAAATGGAATAGTCTCCATGATAGAATACAAGGGAGTTCACAAAACAAGTCTTAACAAATTTAAGAAAATGAAATCATAGCAGTATATTTTCCAACCACAGTGAAATAAAACTAGAAATTAATGGCAGAAAGAAAAGTGAAAAATTCAGATATGTAGAAATTAAATAATCAATGGGTCAAAGAGGAAATCAAAGTATAAATCACAAAGTACCTTGAGACAATTGAAAGTGAAAATACAACATACCAAATGTACAGGATATAAAAAAACAGTACTATTAGTAAGTTTTTCCTGATCAATATTTATATTAAGAAAGGAAAAAAACAATTAACAGCCTAACTTAGCACACCAAGGAATGAGAGAAAGAGGAGCAAACTAAGCTCAAATTTAACAGAAGGGAGGAAATAATAAAAATTAAAGTAGAAATGAATGAAAGCGAGAAGAGAAATGCAATATAAAAACAATTAAATTAAGACAGGCTTTTTATTGTAAAAACCAGTGGCTTTCATTATGACATTTTCATAAATATGTGCAGTGTACCTGGAACTAATTCACCCCTTCCCACCCTCTCTTGTCCCCCCATTGCTCTTCCAAATAGTTTTCTTTTAGGTTCATGTCTTTTTGTTCGTTTATTTGTTTGCATTTTTAGATACAGATTCAAATATGAAAAAAGCAATGTTGTATTTGTCTTTTTGAGTACAGCTTATTTCACTTAATGTGATAGTCTCCAACTCCATCCATATATCTGAAAGATGATACTTTCACTCTTCTTTATGACTGAATAATACTCCATTGTGTTTACATACCATTCTTTCCTTAGTCTTTCATCTGCTCATAGGAACCTAGTTTTATTCCATAACTTGGGTGCTTGGTTTTGGTTTTTGAAAACATCAGCATAATTTACAAAACTTTTGGTAGATTAAGAAAAATAGAGAAGACTTATATTTTAAAAGTATGCTGATAAAGCAAAAGAATTGTTACAAACTACCATGAACAATTATACACACAAATACTGGATAACCTATATGGATTGGATCAATTTCCAGAGACTCTAATAAGATAGAATCATGATGAAATATTAATTTGGCTAGAAAAATAACCAGTAAAGAGATCAAATCAGTAAAATAATTAAATTAAGAGAACACCCAACAATAAAAATCTTAGGACTAGATCATTTTACTGGTGAATTCTATCAAACTTTCAGCTATTCGATAGCTGAGAATCGAGCACACAACTATCTCAAATTTCTGAAAAGATTTGAAATTAAAAGAATGTTTTTGAAACTCATTTTATGAGGTCAGCATTACCCAAAGATACTATAAGAAGAGAAGACCACAAATCAGTATAGATTAATAGATACAAATAAAAATATACATGTGTTTATTTTTAGTAACTATATGTAAATATAGAAATAAAACTAGATGAATATAAATACAAATGTAAACATAAATACAAAATAAATTGATATAAATGCAAAAATTCTCAACAAAATACTAGAAAAGTAAGTTCAACAGCATATCAAAAAAATGACATCTCCTGTGATCATGTTGAATTGATTTTTGGGATGCAAGGATAGTTCAACATACAAAAATCAATCACCATGATAAACTATATTAGCATTGTATTGGATTTTAAAAATCACATAATTATCTCAATCTACGTAGGAAAAATATTTTTAAAACATTAGTGCCCTCTTATTATAAAAACACTCAACAAAGAAGGATGAAAAAAAGTACCCAACATAATAAAGGCCACAGCTAATGACTTAAGGAACAGTGAATTAGCTGAGAGTTTTTTCTTTATAGTCAGTGGAGGGGACAAGGGAGTGAGAGGGAGAGGAGGGGAAAGGAGGGGAGAGGAAAAAGAAGAGGGAGGAAAGAAGGGAGGGAGGGAGGAAAAAAGGAAGGAGGAGAGAGCAGAAAATAATAAATATTATCAAGGATGTGAAGAAAGTGGGACCCTGTGCACTGTAGGTAGGAATGTAAAATGGTGCAGCTGCTGTGGTAGCAGTATGAAATTTCCTCAGAGAATTACAAATGTTACTATCACACGAGCCAACAATTCCAGTGCTGGGAATTCAACCAAAAGGATTGAAATCAGGATCTGAAAAAGATATTTGCACTCTCATGTTTATTGCAGCATTATTCATAATAGACAAGAGTTAGAAACAACATAAATATTCACTAACAGATAAATAAAGACAATGTAGTGTATATTTCTATAATGTGAATATTTTTTTAAATATAAGGATGGAAATTCTGTCATATGCCACAACACTAATGAAACTTAAGGACATTATGCTGGTAAAATAGGCCAGCCACAGAGGGAAAACAATGCCTACAACACGCAGATTCTTGGTATGAAAGTTGTAGTATAGTTGTGATGTCATCACTGTACCACAAACCCTAAAATTCACTAAGGGTAGCTGACATATCTTTTTCTAGCAAACTGAAAGCTCAATGTGTCACATTCAAAGGAAAATATCTCTTTCCCTTATTTGTATTATTATAGACTCTTTTGATCTACAATTGTCTTTATATATGTGCAAAGTTCAAAAACAAAAAGTAATCATTGGAAGATGGCAATGGAGACAGAGCCACAGACCTCCTGAGCTGACCCAGAGACCCTGCCAAGAAGCTGGAGACACACCTGACTGAGGTAAAGCACTAGGGAGAGCCAAAAACACGACACTCTAAACACTTAGATCGTGGAAGGCTTCTCTATGCCACAAACTAATAAAAGAACAGCCGGCCTGCCAAATCCCCGCCCCATAATGTCTGCAGAGCAGCTGCTCCATTCTTCTCGGCTCTCTGCTCCTCAGGCTGTGCCAGGCCACAGCCCCGCCTAGACCCACACACGGCGGGATACCCGCCCCTCAGCTGCATCGATCACACCACGACCAACTGAGATCCCCACCACCCGTCTGCATTGGACCCAGCCTGGAGCTGGTCCCACAGCTTCCCAGGATATCGGCCCCCTCCCCAGCCCACCGCCTTCAGACGCTGCTGAACCCCGCTTAATGCGGGGTGACTGGACCCCTGCCCTTCAGACTCCCCCACCCATCAGGCCCTGCCGGGCTCCAGCTCTGTGTGGAAAACTGGAGCCCTGCCCCACTGGGACAGGCACCTGCCTGGCATGAGACAGCTGTATCCACCGCCCACCAGGAACCCTGCCCCTCAGGTGGAGCCGACCCAGCTCTACAGACTTCCCACATAATTGCTCACAAGCTCCTGCTCGGGCTGCCACAGAGGACGCCAAGCATGCCAAGAGTACACACAGACTGGACTGGACACTAAAGAAGTAAAAAAACTAAGCCTGCAATCCACTGTTTCAGAACTGGTGATTTTTTTTTTTCTCTTTTTCTCCCTTCCTAAGGGTTTGGCAGCCTGGTTTGTTGATCACCCACCATTCTCCCACTTTTTTTTTTTCTCTCCCTCTCTTCCTTTTATCTTTCTTCCTTCTCCTTTTATACTTCTGTCACGATTTTGTTCTATTAATATTGTAACCCACCTAATACCAAATGACGCATAGTCCAGGGACAGAAATGGTACCTAGTGGAAATATGGAAGAAAAAAGGGATGGAAACCATTCCCCCCAAAATAAGTAGTACAGGATTTAGAGTGAATAGAAAACGGATACCAGATCCTGACTCCAACAAAACAAGATAAACTATACCAAGGAACCTGACGAAGACCACAAGGACACCAGAAGAAGAAATTTAGAAGTAAATGAGAATTTCATAGATATGTTACTAGACATGGTCAACCAAAATGTCAGGAGGCATTCAAGAAATTCTGAGACAACAAAATAAAGAATAAGAAAACACAGAAACAAATAAATGAAATCACAGGAGACCTAAACAAACACCAAACTGAAACAAGATCACCATAAGCAGAAAGATAAATGAATTAAGGGAAAAATTGACACTATTAAAGAAGAAGTAACCCATGATATGGAAAACCTCAGAAAAAGAATGAAACAGAAATACAAACAAAATAGAAGGCTTCCAGCAGAATAGAACAAACAGAAGACAGAATCTCAGAAGATGAAATGGCAATTAAAGGAAAAACTGAAGAACTATTAAACAAGTCAAGACCTGTGAAAAGAAATGCAAGAACTCACTGACTCCATCCCAAAGATCAAACCTGAGAAGCATGGGCATTGAAGGAGAAGAGGTGCAAGCAAATCTAGAGAAACTATGCCCATTCAGGTACAGGAAGCCTCCACAACAGTGAACAGACCTGACCAAAATAAACTACCGATGACATATTATCATTAAACAACAAGTATAGAGACTAGAGAAAGAATATTGAGGCTATAGAGAAAAACAAATAACATACAAAGGTAAACCCATCAAAATCACAGCAGACTTCTCAACAGAAACAGTAAAAGCAAGACAACATGGGGTGAGATCTTCCAAGCACTGATGAAAAAACTTCAATCCTAGTTTACTTTCCCAGCAAAACTACCATTCAAAATTGATGAACAATAAAAGCTTCCATGATAAGCAGAAATTAAAACAATATATGACCACCAAGGCACAGTATAAAAGATTCTCCAAGGAATTCTGTACACAGATAATAAAAGCAAACAAAATCATGAAAGGGCAGGCAATACGAAATCACAGGAGAAGAAAAGGAAAGAAAGTAAAGGGTAAACACATAATCAAACTCTTAATCAACAAAGACAACACATGACAGGAATCACACATACTTATCAATACACACTGAATGTTAATGGACTAAATTCCCATCAAAATACAATGACTGGATTAAAAAAGAAGATCCAACAATCTGCTGCCTACAGGAGATGGACCTCATCGACAGAAATAAGCACTGGCTGAGAGTGAAAGGCTAGAAGAAGATTTACCAAGCCAGTGGTCCCCAAAAACAGGCAGGAGTAGCAATGCTTATCTTGGACAAAGTAGACTTCAAAACCTACATTGATCAAATGAGATAAAGAAGGACACTCCATACTAATAAAAGGGAATTACACCACGGGAAATAACATTACCAACCAATATGCACGCAATGTTCATTTGCACCCAATTTCATCAAACATAGTTTGAAGGACTTAAACACATATAGGACTCCAACACAGTGGTAGTGGGAGATTTAAACACCTCTATCACCATAGATAGGTCATACATACAAAAATCAACAAAGAAATCTAGAAATAAATGATCAGAAATGTGATTGGACCAGTATGACATGACAAGCGGGAGAGCAAATACAGGGAGATATAGGAATAGGTAGAAAATCCAAAACATGAAAGCGTTTTGATGGTCCCACTCCAGGAGGAACTAATACAGAAACCGTTAAAGTGACAGAGGTTACCATGAGAAGGGGATCAGTACAGTGTAAAGATCAGTTAGAGATGAATCAACTTGGATTGTAACACATTTGAATGGAACATGGAGGAATCTCTCTGTAAAGCTATTCTTAACTCAACTAGCAAAACGCTTGTCTTCCTTATTATGCTGTGTCTTCTCTCAACAAAATTAGTGATAAAGGCAGAACAGGACCTGCCTGGAATGAGTGGGGAGGGGAAAGGGTGGGGAGGGGGGCAGGGGAGAAATGACCCCAACAATGTATGTACATATGAATAATGAATATAAAAGAAATAATTTTTTTTAAAAAATATCTTGGAAAATGAAATTACCTTGGATGATATGGCTGTTTGCATAACTTATTTATTAGGAAATGTTAATTAGTGTACTCTTAAAAGGTAAGATTTTTTTATCTTTATTTCTACTCTCTAATAAGAATATAATTATATAAAATATTTCAACTTCCATATGACATATGAATCTAAAGTACTCTACATTAGGAGAAGTATTAAAGAGGAGTATGCCCTTCGAGCTAAGATTACATACTTTACCTTCCTGGAAATCGTAGCACTAGCCTTAAAGAGAGTGCCGTTACACACATAAATCATAATGCAGTGATAATAAAGAGACTTGAACAGATAATGATCATCACATTGCCTCTGGATTGCCTTACCTACAAGGACAGCCAGTCCCCAGTATAATGCTCCAAGGCAGATCATTGTACTTAAAAAGTTACATTTTTTTGATACTTTTCAATGATCTACTGACTCATTAAGTGTGAGCTATACTGTTCACTTCCCTTACAACTGCCTTCTACACAATATACAGCCTCTAATCTTGAACAGTATTAATAAGAATATTCAAACCAAATAAAACTGTGACTTGTTCAATAGCTACTTTTCCTATGTGACCATGGCCAAAACCAGATATGGGCAAATAACTAGTGCAAAGCAATTCATTCTGGACTATTTAATAAAACTATTAAGAGGTAGGACCCTGGTGACTCATGTAGAAAATTTTGGGAAGACTTTGTTGTTAGGCTAATGAAAATGTTCATGTCATTTATCTCCATGGAGATAAAAAAAAATCAAGGCATTCTGAACTTTGTTATGTCTCCAACATTCTGCAGTTGTTCAATAAAAGTTTTTTAATGAAGGAATGAAGGAGCATCCAAGGTTGTCTAGATTCAGTTTGGAAAAGGGTTAATGAAGGAAGTAACATTAAAATACATAAGCAAATGCTCTCTTATTGCCAATGGAAATCTTGATGATGTTCAAGGTATTGATATCTACACATTTAGAAGCCAGACTCAAGCTATAAACTTACTCTTTAAGTATTAAAGGGTTTTTGTCCACTTATGTTTTCTTCATTGAAAGCATTATATAAGATCTGGTAGCTAAATCAGAGAATTAAAGAAAATTACTTTTCTCTATAATTTTACCAAATGAAGTTCTTATTACACAGTATTGTTACAACTTAATATGTATGAAGAAAAAACCTTAAAATGTATGGAGAAAGACTAACATAATATCTAATATTGTGGTATACACAAAGTAAGTATCAACTTGGCTCTGGATAATGAGCAATCAGATTTAGATTCCAGTCTTACATTAACCTTTACCCTTACAAAGATTCAATGTATTCAATGGTTTGATTTCTGAAAATCTTTGTTTGAACAATCTCAATGAAGCATTTTCATAATGCATGGATTGTTAGTATTGCTTAATGGTTCTTTTAATTCATTTATTCACATGTGCATACAATGTTTGGATCATTTCTCCACCCTGCCCCCTTCCCCCACCCTCTTCCCACCTCTCCCACTCAGTTCCAGGCAGGTCCTGTTCTGCCTTTATCACTATTTTGTTGAAGAAAAGACACAAGCATAATAAGGAAGACAAAGTGTTTTGCTAGTTGAGTTAAGGATAGCTATACAGAGAGATTCCTAACATTGTTTTCGTATACCCATGTGTTAGACCCATGTTGATTCATCTCTAACTGATCTTTACACTGGTTCTGATCCCTTCTCTTGTTAACCTCTGTTGCTTTAAGGTTTCTGTATTAGTTCCTCTGGAGTGGGAACATCAAACACTTTCATGTTTTGGGTTTTCTACCTATTCCTATAACTCCTGTATGTGCTCTCCCCTTGTCATGTGATCCAAGTCCAACACATTGCTGCATTTGCCCTAGATCTAAAGTCTGCATATGAGGGAGAACATGCGATTTTTGGTCTTGAGTCTGGCTGACCTCGCTCAGAATGACTCTCCAGTTCCATCCATTTACCTGCAATGATAAGATTTCTTCTTCTTCATGGCTGCATAAAATTCCATTGTGTATAATACCACATTTTCTTGATCTATTCATCAATAGTGGGGCATCTTGGTTGTTTCTATAACTTGGCTATTGTGAATAGTGCTGCAATAGACATGGGTGTGCAGATGCCTTTGGAGTAACCTGTGTTGCATTCCTTTGGTCTATCCCCAGGAGTGGGATTGCTGGATATATGGCATAAAATCTATGTTTAGATTTTTAAGAAGTCTCCAAATTTTCTTCCAGAGT